GCTGGATTGCTCCCCAAGCTTGTCTGTGCCAATTTGCTGCCAAGGACCTGTCTGTCTGTTAATTAAATGCCGTAACTTATCTTTGGCTCGGAGTGTGTTGGTGTGGGACGAGGGGGGTCAGAACAAAAATGTATATCAATTGAAAGTCTCTTACATTTTAATTCTATAAACGATTTCCTTTCTCTACCCCTTTCTTCCAGTTCTTGCATTTATTGTTTCTTACCAGATAAGTTGAGGTTAGGAGCCAGATTGGTATAGTGGTTAAAGGCATGGTGCTAGAAACTGAGAGATTGTGAGTTCTAGTCCTATTTTAGACCCAGATCCAGGTGGGTGAACTGAGTGATTGCTTTCTGTCAGCCCCAGGAAGAAGGCAGTGGCAGGCCATTTCTCAAAATGTTGCCAAAAAAACTTTACATGGACATGCCCAACAGTTGCCAAGAGACAAAAAAAAAAAAACCAAAAACCCTGCACTGAGAGAACCTATAACGGAATTTCTATTTGTCATGAATTTTCATGAAAAACAGAACAATGCCAGACAGAAAGAGTTGTATTCTATTTATTAGATTTGTATTCTCAACTGAAGCCACCAGAGCAGGACACAGTATAAGTGACATCTATGTATTTATCTCAGTTTATATGTCATTTGATTTTGTTTCTCTCCTCAATAGGTATTAGTTGCTCAAAGCCACAGTTCAGTGGAAGAACCCATGTGGTGCCCTCAAGTCTCAAATTCATTTCCAGCATCTTGAAACACTGGAAAATTAATACTGAAATTACTCTCAAAACAGGTGCTTCATACATTTCTGAATGTTATGGAGCACCTTGTTCAAAGAAGTACAGATGATCACATAGAAGAACACATCTTCTTATGTTTCCATGGTTTCTTAAGGGAATAAAAAAAACAGAATGAGACAGACTTGCCACTTATAAACTAAATTGGGATGAAACCCAGATGAGGGTTAATATTGTCAATCCTTATAGCAATAATTAGTGATCAATAAGTGGGATTACAGAGTTCAAACAAAACCGCAACCATAAAAGTGAGACATAATTTCACTCTTAATTGACTTATTCTGCACTTTGTGATGTCAGAATCCCATCATTTGTTACAAGTAGGCAAGCTGTTATAGTTTTGATAAGAAAGAAAAGTATATATAAACATACTGAAATATGTCTGGGTATGTCTTGCAAACAGACAAAGGAGTGAAAAAATTAACTGTAGGTATACTTAAAGTGACCAGATTTTAAAATGGGGAAAGCGGGACACCATTGACCGGGGTGTGTGTGTTCAATTTCAATATTCTAGGCCCAACAAGTTAAAATACTCACCACCTAGTTCAATACTAAAGGAGAAAAGTGGGAGGGGGGAATCAAAGGGGTGCACGTAGCCCAGTGTGCCCAGGTCCTTCTTCTTGCCTGGCCTCATCTTCACCCTCTGGCTGATGCCCACCACCAGCTGCACCGTGGCCAACTCGCCCCGGGCAGGCTGGAAGGCTTCGGGCAGCTCCTGGGTGGCGGGCATCTGGGCGGGAAGGGCGAGGGGATGGCAGTGACATCTTCGGCGGCAGAGCAGAGGCGCAGCAGTGCCAGCAGCCAGGCAGCCTCCATCAGGCAGCGAGGCGAGCTGCATGCAAGGTCACTCGCCCAGCCTGCCCCGTGACTCCTGCTAGTGCTTGGCAGCATGCAGCCGCCGCACAGCCTCCAGTCCCGCAGGCCGCCCTCCCAGCGCCTATCTATAGACAAAGATAGACCTGGAAAAATGAGTGAAAATGTTTGCAAGAGGAAGCCACGTGGTGGAGCCAAAAAAGGGGCGGGGCACCCTTTCTACAAAAATCAGGACTTTTTTAAAACAACACGGGACGCGGGACAAATTATTAAAAATCGGGACTGTCCCGCCAAAAGCGGGACGTATGGTCACCTTAGATATACTGTTTTTAGTATATCAACTGCTGTATTATTCTATAGGAAGACTTGAATTGACTTTGCCTTCTGGGTTAGGCTAAAGACAGCAGGCTGAGAAGAACCCAAACATATGCTCAAAACAGATTTAAGAATGAAGAAAGGTATCAAAGCCATAAGACTCAAAAAGAGCCATAAATTAGTCAAGAGTAAATTATAAACTAGTTGTCAGCGTTCCAAGTATCATGTAGAATTAAATCAGAGTCCAAAGCAAAATGATCCTTAAAGTTCCAATTTNCCGTCAGCTGACACTGTCTGGCTGACGGCATCTGAAGGAGGCCCAATCTGTGGGATCTTATCAGCCGTTGGGAGGTGTATGGCAGTAGGTGGTCTCGCAGATAGGCTGGTCCTAAGCCATGTAGGGCTTTAAAGGTGCGGGGACACCTGACAAGGTGTGGGCTAGAAAGGGGACAAAGAAACAGTTCCTGCATGTCAAGTTTGAAAGCACTGGAAACAGTATGAGTGAAATCAGAGAAGCTGTTTGGTCTAGTCGTGGTTAAGGTGCTGGCCTAAACCAGGAGACTGTGAGTCCTAGTTCTGTAAAGAACTAGGCTGGGTGACTTTGGGCCAATCACCAGGAGGGGGTGAGTTCTAGTCCCACCTTAGGCACAAAAGTCGGCTGAGTGACTTTAGGAGACAGTGAGTTCTAGTTCTGCCTTAAGATATAAAAACCAGCTGGGTAACTTTGAACCAATCTGCCAGGAGACAGTTAAGTTCTAGTCCTGCTTTAGCCATGGAAGTCGGCTGGGTGACTTTGGGCCAATCACCAGGAGACGGTGAGTTCTAGTTCTGCCTTAGATGTAAAAGCCAGCTGGGTGACTTTGGGCCAATCACCAAGAGATTAATCATTGTGGCAAGAAAGGTTTTCAAATGGGGCAAAACTCACTTAACAACTGTCTTGCTTAGCAACAGAAATTTGGGGGTCATTAAGGCGAGGACTATCTGAACCCCCTTCCCCCGAAAAACACATTTCTGGAATTTGGGCACTTTAGCGCCACATTTTGGACAATATTCTCTTGAGATGCTCTAAACAGATTCCTGGAGGCTCCAGGCGGTCTGCTCACCTGGGCCATAATCTACGCTTTATAAAGCCACAATTACTGGATTAACCAAATACATAATGCCAAAACCAAACCCAACCGCATGATTTTGGCATGAGGAAAAAAAAGGAACACAAGCTCAGAATGCACACCTTGTAAAGATCACTAAAGGAACTGTTGTAAGTCGAGGACTACCTGCAATTGCTCATATAATGACAGTTCAATGTTATGGTAGATTCCCCCCAAAGGTACATAGGATTCTGAAATTCTGTCAGACATCCAAGTCACATGACCAGATTTCGGGTGCTCAGCAACCAGCCTGCATTCACAACCGTTTAGGCAAGAAAAACGAAATGCACAGGTACAGTATAGGTGGTACCTGGCCCAATAGTAGTAACTGTGAGAGGGATCTTGGAGTCCTAGTGGACAATCATTTAAATAGGAGCCAGCTGTGTGCAGCAGCTGCCAAAAAAGCCAAGACAGTTCTAGGCTGCATCAACAGAGGGAGAGAATCAAGATCACGTGGTGTTGATTCCACTTTATAAGGCCTTGGTAAGGCCACACTTGGAATACTGCATCCAGTTTTGGTCGCCACGATGTAGAAAAGATGCTGAGACTCTAGAAAGAGGGCAGAGAAGAGCAAGAAAGAGGATTAGGGGACTGGAGACTTAAACATATGAGGAACGGTTGCAGGAACTGGGTATGTCTAGTTTAATGAAAAGAAGGACCAGGGGAGACATGATAGCATCTTCCAATATCTCAGGGGTTGCCACAAAGAAGAGGGAGTCAAGCTATTCTCCAAGGCAGTGTAGAACAAGAAGCAATGGGTGGAAACTAATCAAGGAGAGAAGCAACTTAGAACTGAGGAGAAATTTCCTGACAGTGAGAACAATTAATCTGTGGAACAGAAGTTGCCTCCAGAAGTTGTGGATGCCCCAACACTGGAAGTCTTTAAGAAGATGTTGGATAGCCATTTGTCTGAAACAGTATAGGGTTTCCTGCCCTAGGCAAGGGGTTGGACTAGAAGACCTCCAAGGTCCCTTCCAACTCTGCTATAGTATTGTATTAACCTATGGCACGCATGCCAGAGGTGGCACAAGAGCCCTCTCTCTGGGCACATGCGCGTTGCCAGCTGATCTTCTGGGTTTTGGTGCTGGTTTTCACCATTTTTCAGGCTGTTTTCAGGCCATTTTGGGATTGGTTTTCGGGCCACAAACAGCCTGAAAAATGGCTGGAAAACGGCCTGCAACCAGCTCAAAAAACAGCCTGAAAATCTCCCCAAAAATGGTCCCAAAACAGGCATACGTGTGCTGATCAGCTGGTCTTCCAGCACTCCGGCACACACACATCTACGCACATCCCGGTTTGGGCACTCAGTGTCGAAAAGATTTGCCGTCACTGAGGTGGGGCAACAGAATTGTGAAAGTTGTGCACGATTCCGGCAGTCCTCATGCATTTATTCCAAGCCAAATTTAAAAGAGAACAGAGCAAAAGGAAAAGGCAAAACCAAAGGCTCTCAAAATGAAGGTTAGTCTATGTACTCAGGTATTCCTCAACTTACAACCATAATTGAGCTGAAAATGCGTTGCTAAGCAAAGCATTGGGGTTCAGTGAATTTCGCCCCATTTTACGAGCTTTCTTGCCACAGTTGTTAAGTGAATCACTGCAATGGTTAAGTTAGTGACAGGGTTGTTAAGTGAATCTGGCTTCCCCCTTGACTTGGCTTGTCAGGAGGTCACGTGGCCCTGGGACACCGCGGCCGTCATAAATGTGAGTCAGCTGCCAAGCGTCTGAATTTGCATCACATGAATATAAATATGAGAACTGGTCATAAGTTATATTTTTTCAATGCCGTTGTAACTGCGAACGGGTCACTAATGAAAACTGTTGTAAGCCAAAGACTATCTGCACACTGTCACTACAAATAAATGTCACAAACCTTGTGAAATCTAAAACTTAGGAAAAAAGGTCACGGATTTTTTTTCCCCAAGGCTAGGCAAGCACTGCTAGGTATCAACACAATGCTAGGTTGCTTTTGTGAGCTACATAACAACATAAGGAGGCTTGTTGTGTTTGGAAGAAAACAGCCTTCAAAATACAATACCTTCAAGATTTTTATCTCCTTCCCAAGCAGGAGCTGCGACTTCGACAAGTTCTTTTTGTTAATGCTTTTTATAGCAACTTCCCAGTCCGTTTTCTGAAAAGAGGATGGAGAAAGAGTTCTAAGTACAAGCACATTTTCTTATTTTGTAAACAGTCACGAGAAACAAGCAGATCTGGTATTTCTCTCTCTCTCTCTTTCTCTCTCTCAGCTTTAAGATTATTAAGATTCTTGGAAGAAGCTGGGAGTCCTCTTTTTTTCCCACCTGGTCTACAGCTTTCCCAACTGCTAATTGCAACTGCCAATACCCCCCACTCCCCCACTTAGGAAAGTTGAAAGTGGCTAGTGAATTCTGGGAGTTGAAGTTCACAGGTCTTAAAGTTGCCAAGGTTGAACACCCCTGGTCTAAAACCTTTTAGGAGAACATGTCAAGTTGCAAACAGCTGGTGTAAAAAGGACAATTTACAATCAGGACCACAGGCCCAGACTTTACCCGCGTGCAACTAAAGTAGGGCAACTCACAACTTTCTCCTTCTAGTTGTCCTTTCTAGCTCCAGGAAATTAGCTTCATCCCACTCTACCCTTGGGTTCAAATGCTTAACAGGCAAGACCAGAAACCTGCTGTGTTAGATACCTTTTAAAGAGACCTGCAGGCCATTCCCTTATCTTAAACAGAGGGCCCAGAAGCTCCCTGTCTCAACAAGATTGCAGATGCCCAAAAGGAATCACACACACACACAGAGGGAGGGAGGGAGAGAGAGACCAAGTTGTTCAAAGTCACCCAACAAAAAAAAAAAAAGACATTTGTGAAGATCCAATCATATCTGTAAGTCAAGCTAGTAAATTGACAGAAAGATCTCTTGAGGGATAGCTTGGCCCCTGAAGCAGGCAGGTAGAATTATTATTGGTTAAATTTATTTGCCAATCTTGCTTCGGGCAGCTTATAACAACAACAAAGAAGAAAATGAAAGGAATGTAAACAGCACAGAAGTAAAAGAGAACCATAAAATAAACAATGAAAAGGGGACAACCGGGAGAACACACACAATATGATAACCAAGAGTGGAGGTCAACCCTTAAAACAAAACATACACCCAACACCAAGAGCTTCTTGCAAAAGGAGGCAAGGAAAGAAGGGATCCTTGCCAGGATATGAGGATCCATTTGACGTCAGATGGCTCGCTGGATCCTGGCAGGGAAAGCAACTCTGGAAAAAGAGATTTTGGTGGGAGGGGGAGCAACTCCAGCCCCATTTTATTTACACAAGCTAGGAAGTTCATTCAAACCTTTGGACGGGAGGTTGGCAAAACCCGAGGCACCGAACTACAAAACCCATAAACCCCCATCTCCTTTTTTTTTTTATAATTGTAAGAGAGAGCAGGTTTGCCAGCTGTGTGGAGGAGAGGGGAGAAAGGTTGGGAGGAAACAGCTGACATCATCCCATCCCTGGCTCTGACGGGGAAGGAAAACAAGGCTGGTTTAAGCCCAACAGCATGCACCACAGCTGTACCCCTACCCAACCACCCACCTCCTCAAAAATAGGGAGGGGGGGGAAGAAGAAAAACCAACCATTTTTGTGCGTGACAATGCAGCCAGCTTTTAAAAATACACCTAGCGGTTTACCTGAAGTGTACCAAACCCCAGAAACCGAGTTAGGAGAAGCGGAGAAAGGGCAGCTTCAGGAGAAAGGCTTCCCAGGTAAACTGGGGATGGGGGAAAAAAAAGCACAGGAGCCAACTTCAACCCTATACAGCCCCCTCCTTCCCAAATCTGGCAGCCCTGTAAGCCCCCTCCCACCCCCATAGGAGCCGAGACCCCCAATTCTCTCTCCACCCCACCGTACCTTCCGGTGCCGTCCCTTAAAGACCACGGCGAAAGCTCCATGCCCGATCAGGTCTTTTTTGCTGTATTCAAAATCCCCCACCACCTCCATGTTTTTCAGGGGGGCATGAAGCTTGAGGGGTGGGGTGGGGGGACAACGCAGGGAGGACAAGGAGAAAGGGAAGGACAAGCCGAAGCTCACATCAGCAGGCTGGGGGAGGAGGAGGAGGAGAGGCTAAGAGAGGGGGGGCTGGCTCTGCCCGCGTCCTGGGCCCCCCCAACCAAAGGGGGCACCTGCTGGCATGACGCTGCTGCTGCTGCTGCTGAACTGGGGCGGGGGGCTGGGGGGCACCGGCCAGCTTCCCATAGGCGGTGGGTGTTTTCTGGCATGGGGTGGTGGTACGAAGGGAAGCAGGGTGGATGAAGCCTCTTTGGGGAAGATGGAGCAAGCCCACCACCAAAAAAGGTTTAAAGAAGTGGCCCTTTCATACAGGCAAGCATTTGAGGTTAATTCCAAACCAAGATGTTAAAACCCCTACAACGAAGATGTTAAAAAACCCTAAAACCAAGATGGTAAAAAATCCTAAACTCCTAGCATGGAGGGGAGGGGGGGATTAAACCCCTTTAGAAAAGCCCACCTTGCCTTTAAAAATAAAAAAGAGCAGGGAAGAACATTAAAAAAGGCATAAAGGAGCAAAACAGTTTCCTGTCAATCCAAAGCCCCCCTTTTAAAACAAGAGTTAGGGGGGGGTGTCCCAGGCCCTTATAATGCCTGGAGGAAGGGGGGGGGGATAAGGAATTAAAAAGGGGGGCTATGACAGCTGCCCCGCGGAGGATGCAGGGGGGGATAGATAAGGGGGAAAATACAGGAAAGATTAAGATAAGGGGGGGAGAGGGGGAGAAAGGATTATTATTTCCCCCTTGCTTTTGCGAAGGGAGCCAATAGAAAGGGACTCAGAATCGCTTTTAAAGGGAGGGGGTAAGGGAATTAAGACCTTGCCCCCTCCCCCAATGATATCTGGCCTGGGAATGAATTAAAGGGGGGAATGGGTGAGGGAGTTCACCCCCCTGCCCATCCCTCTCTTACATCCTGCTTCCCCCCCACCCCACCCCGCCGCCTCTGCCCCCGGCTTAAAGGAAGGGGGCAGGTGGCCCTTCCTCTTAAGAAACGGTTTCAAACACGAGGGGGGGTGGGGAGAAGAAAGGGTGGCGGGTCTTTTGCAAGGATGGTGGAGGGGGGGGAAAGGAGCGCAGGGAGGTGTCCTCCGCCTTAGGCCGCTGTGCCGCCCCTCGCGTCCTCCGCGGGCGCCGATAATCCAGGCACTTTCCCCCACCGGCGTCCGGCCGCAACTGGCGAAACTTCCGCGCGGCGCAGCTATTTATATAGGACTACGCGCGCAGGGGCTTTTTTTTTTTTCGGTCTCCCTCCGCCGGAAAAGGGGAGGGAAAAAACACAAGGGTGGGCGGGGCGGAGCGCGAGAGGGGAAAAGAGAAAAAAGAGTCCGCGCGCGGGAAAATTTGAGGGAGAAAAATTGCCCCAAAGGGGGGGGGGGAGGGGAATGGCTGTGGGCGCCCTCTTGATGTAAATAAAAAAAAAATTTTCTAAATAAAAAATAAATAAATCGGTTAGAAGACACCCGTACCTAAATCAAAAGGATTAGCAGCCAAAGTGTTCTTCTGAGGCAGAAGTTGGCAGCATTTGGCCTTCTCAAGGAGGGAGACCTCAGTGAGGAGGGGTGGCCAATTTTTTCCTCGGATTCTGCTCCTCTGGCCATGTTATTCAACAGGCCTCTTTCAGGATGTACCCCACTTGCCACTTTCTGGAAAAGGAGCTGTTCTTTTTTTAAAAAAAAAATTAGCGGGCTAAAGTAATGAAAATAAATAAAAATTATATATATATATATACACATACATATATATACACACACACACACACATATATATATTAGTGTCACAACCCCTGGTAAGCCCCAATTATGGGAGGAAGCTAACTGCTTCCAACATCTGTCAATCGGCTCGTCACAAGAGTCCATCACGACAGAAACCCAACATTTTTACTGTTGCCTTTGTTATATTTGTGTTTTTTTGTTTTTTTTAATTTTTTTTTATTTTATTTTTTTATTTGTGCTGATAAATAAATAAAGGGAGACTAGTATAGATCTATTTCAAGCTATTTAGCTCTCATCAGCTAGCCATACCCCATTTATATAACACAAATATAACAAAGGCAACAGCAAAAATATTGGGTTTCTGTCGTGATGGACTCTTGTGACGAGCCGATTGACAGATGTTGGAAGCAGTTAGCTTCCTCCCATAATTGGGGCTTACCAGGGGTTGTGACACT